GGCCAGTTAAAAGCGGGTTGGTCTGGGCGAGTAGGATGGCGTGGAGTTGGGCGGTGGGGCGGGTGAGAGCGTCGGCGATGTTGGATGCGCCTTTCTTGTACGTAACGGTGTAGTGAAAATTGGACTCGAGATAGTCCAACCAGCGAATCTGTCGTGGGTTGAGATTCGGTTGGGCGCGAAGGTACTGTAGCGAGCGGTGGTCTGTCCGTACTGTCACGTCGGCGCCAGTCAGGTAACATCGCCAAACTTTGAACGCGTGCACGATCGCCAGCATCTCGCGGTCGTGTATCGGGTAGTTACGTTCGGGCGGGTGTAGTTTGCGGGACTCGTACGCGATTGGCTGGAGGCCGTTCCCGAAGTCCTGCAACAGAACTGCTCCCACAGCGATGTCACTTGCGTCGGTGACGAGCTCAAACGGACGGTGGGGATCTGCAATGTGAAGGACGGGCGGGGAGCACAAAATATTTTTGAGGGCCGAGAAGGCAGCTTGCTTTTTCTCCCCCCACGTGTACTCAACCCCCTTCCTCAGCAGGTCGGTCAACGGGGCAGTCAGCTTCGCCATGTCGGGGACGAACCGACGCACGTAGTTGACGAACCCCAGAAAACTCTGCAACTCGGTCAGGTTGGTCGGCGCGTGCCACGCCTGAATCGTCGCAATTTTCTTCGGGTCGATTTCCACTCCCGCAGCTGAAATAACATGTCCCAAAAACTCCAGGCGGTCCTGTAAAAACTCACACTTAGATGCTTTGGTCAGTAGGCGGTTCTCACTTAGGATTTTAAAAACTGCCTCGATGTCGTGTAAGTGCTGTGCTCTGTCGGGGCTGTAAATCAGTATGTCGTCCAGATAAACGATGACGCACTTATCGAAAAGCGGGCAGAATGCTTTGTTCATGGTCATTTGGAAGGTGGCGGGGGCGTTGGTCAATCCGAATGGCATGACGGTGTATTCGAAAGATCCGTAGCGTGTTCGGAATGCGGTTTTAGGGCAGTCGGGTGGATTAACGCGGATTTGGTGGTAGCCTCCCCGGAGGTCAATTTTCGAGAAAACCCGGGCTGTGCGCAGTTGGTCGATCGGTTCGTCGGCTCGTGGGATGGGGTAACGGGATTTGATGGTAACCCTGTTCAGTGCCCTGTAGTCGATACACATGCGAAATCCCCCGTCCTTTTTCGGTGTGAACAGTATGGGTGCGGCGAAGGGCGACGAACTAGGGCGAATGAATTCCTTTTCGAGCAGGTAATCGAGCTGCTTCCTCAGTTCGTCTAGTTCGGGTTGGGTCAGTCTGAACTGTCGCTGTACTGTTGGCTGTGCCCCCGGTTCCAGTTCTATCCTGTGATCGTGTGGTCGCTGAGGTGGCAGTCCCGTCGGCAGGTCGTCCGGGAAAATGTCACTGTACTGTTTTAACAGTACCGCCAGGTCACTCGGTACGTCGGTCAGCAGTTTCTGTAAATCGCCCCCCTTGTCTGCTGCCTCGGCTTCCCGAATGTCAACCGCGTACACGTCGGCTCCGGACGCAACAGCGCGTTTCATCGTGATCGCGTTGACACGCACCGACGAAGACTCAGGCGAGCCCCAGCGAGGTAAGGCGATGTTGTTACCGTTTACTCGCACGGTGCAGTCACCTGTCGTCCAGTCAATTCGCGGATTGTGTCGTCGCAGCCAATCACGCCCGAGTAAAATGTCGGTTCCGTCGAGGGTCGTTGCGAGCATTTCCTGACTAAACGTGAAGTTACCCCCGCATCGAATCCGAACTCGGTCTACGCGTTCCCGTATTGCCAGCGGCGTGCCGTCTACCAGTCGTGCGTCGATCTCAGGTAAGCATCGGTCCAGTGGCAGTCGCAGTTTTCGTGCTGTAGCAGTGTTAATGATGCTGTGGCTGGCTCCCCCGTCTACGAAGATTTTAACTAAGTCCGTCCCAATTTTCCCACTGAGCAGTATAGGGCTATCTACCGTGGTACCCTCCTTATTCGGCCGGGTGTGGTCGATTGCGTGAACCGGCACAATCACTCGGTGAGGGTCGGTTGGGTCGGGCGAGCGGCGTGACCTGTCAGTAGAGGGCCCGTCTGCTACTGACTTCCAGCGTTTCCCTGCTGCTTGGTCTGTGTCTGCTGCTCAGCTTCCCCCTTTCCCTTAGCGTTTTCCGGGCATTCGCTCTTGCGATGTCCCGGCCGATTGCACGCAAAGCAGCGCCCTTTGAACGGTGCGGCAGCGGCATTTGCGGCGACGGCGCGTATCGTGGCGTTTTCGTTCGTCCCACGAGGCCGATGTCCCCAGTTGTTGTTTCCGTAGGACCCCGGTCTCGGTCGGCGAAAGAAGTCGAGCTTCTCCGCCATAGCGAGAATTTCCTGAAACTTAGTGACGCTGCGAAGCTGGATTTCCTGAGCGATGTCCTGCTTCAGGCCGCCGATGTAGCGGTCGATGCGTTCGCTCTCATGCATGTAGCCCACCTGCTCGCATAGCGCCAGGAATCCGCTTGTGTAATCCTGGACGGAACCGAGTTGGCGCCAAGTGCGGATCTTCTGTCGCGCCGAGATCGAGGCCGCGATTGGCTCAAACCGAGCGCGCAGACCTGCGCACCACGCGTCCCACGTGCGATACTGGGGCACCTCCACGAAATACGACGGCGCCCAGGGTCCGGTTTGTCCTTCCCGTGTCGGTAGTGTCGCGTAGTCGGTCGGCTTCGTGACGATGACGCGCCACCAGTCCATGGCGGGTCCTCGCAGCAACGACACGGCGTATCGAATCTTCGCCGAGTCCTCCGAGACGTAGTTGGCGTCGAAGAAGACATTCATTGTGAACAACCACGCCTGGACGGTAGGACCACCCCGTTGACTCGGGTCAAAGCATGGCGGGCGCTGCGGCTTCAGTGGCATCGGTGACGGCAGTCCCGAATCGTGGGTTGGTGCCGAAATCGTGACGCGAGGCTGACTTGGGGCCGCAGGCGTCGCTCTGGGGTGTGTCGTGCCGTGGTCGTCGTCTCCGTCGGGGCGGACGACGCCATCACTGGCCGCGCTCGCGGGTTGCCCCACACTCCCGTGTTGTGATGTTGAGGGTGCGGGTTGAATCGGAGTGCCAGGTGCTTGAGATTGTGCTCTCATGAGGTCATTTTGCAGTGATGAGCGTTTTGCCGTCAATGCCGCGATTTCCTCGGAGCTTTCGTGCAGTTGTCGCAGCAGATCGTTCAAACGCTCCTGCGTGAGGGTGGTGACGTCGATATTTTCAGCCATGACGAAGGGCGTCGGCTCGTCTTAGTCTAGGCGCAGTCGTGGCTGCACGCGTTTACGAGAGAACGCGAGGACAGCGGCTCCTAGGGGCTAAGGTGCGTGAGTCCCTTCGTGTGAAAAATCAAAAGTTGATTTCCTGGTGTGCGGAGATGCGCGGTCCGAAAGAAAGGGGCTCTGATAACCAAGTGTTACGGGTGCAATGAATCGAAGTAGCGAGAATTGCACTAAGGTGTCAAACGAGTACAAAATGTGAGCGAAGGCATGAGCGAATATTTATACGCGAAACATGCAAAACGGTAACGCGGTGCGTGCGAGCTTGCTAGTGCTACGCTGGAGCGAGGCTCGGGCTAGTCCCGAAGCGTAGGCCGATACGGCCATGCCAGCAGTGCGAGGTTTGGCAAAATAGTGCGCGCGAAGTCGGCGAAGTTCCGTTAGCAGTAACGGGCGAACAATCGGCTGTTGCTGTACGCGATGTAGTCGGCCCCGTAAGGAATGCCGAGAAAATTCCTTACACTGAGTCAAACCCTACTTGTACGGTGTACAGTCTGGTTGAAACGCGAAGCTACCAGCCAGGAATTCCGGATGCACTGTTCATTACCATGCAGGCAAAAATATGACCATTTAGCCATAATGGTTACAACAGTGGCGAGGACACGATACCTTTGTTACAAAATGTACACGTGGCTTACCTCGGGTGCGATTGAGCTCCATGAGTGTTACCGCTAAGATAAATGCCCAAACTTCCGCCCAACCTCAAAGACCCTTTTCTTGTCAATCTCCAGCTTTTCTGGAAGTTCCGACTGTTGGGCCAATAGCAGCTGGATCACCACTCCCGCTTTCCCGTCTACTCCCCCTCAGTCTGTCAGCGTGGCAGCACTTTTTCCTCATCGCTCATCCCTGAAGTCAGTAACCAATTCTCAAGGGAAGGCAGACCGTCAGGAAAATAAGTCAGAGGCAACTAATAAATCCCATTGCCAGGCGAAACTACAACTACGGGGTGATCCCATTGTGGATCTCAGTTTGCACAAGGCTAGTCGATTCCCAAACAAGGGGGAAATTCTGTGGTATTTCAACTTACTGATCATCTTGCAACGCCTGCTAACTTCTGATAACTATTTGTCAGCAGAGATTCTCACATTCTGAAACAGCGCATATTCCTCATTTTCACTTCACCCTGAACTTGGAGAGAAGTCCGAAGGGGTAGAACTGAGTAGCGCACCAGCACCCTCCTTAAATTTGGGGATGCAATGGCGTCAGTAACAAGTGAGGCCTTTGCCAACCCACTGTCTTCTTTCAAGCGTATCTGATTTGTCCTGATTTGCTGTATTGAGGCACCACCATGATCAGCCATTCACATTCATTCCTTCCCCCCGTTCGTCACGGTTCACCTTTCAGGTTGCGTGGGTCGGCCTCGCCCGTCGAGCCCTGTCACCTCAACTCGTCGTCATTCCCATCGCGTCTTCAACACAGCCAGTCAGAATAATCAAGGGAGCTTCCAGCCTCTCCCCCGACCGCAATGGCCCCTCCAGCAGCGGCAGCCGCCGTTAGGTGTTCCCCCGAGGCAATCGTCGCCATGCCGGACGTCATCGCCGTGCCGACCAGGGCCTTCTTTCCAGGGCTCCGGCGCTGCCAGCTGTACTTCCCGGAAAGCATTTCCAGGAGGCGGAAGGCGAGAAGCATCAGCAACCATCGAAAGGGAGCTTGCCGGTATGCTAGCTCAATGTTGTGACGAGCTGACGCATGCTGTGGACAGGAGTGCGGATCCGGGAGTGACTGATATGCTGTCACTTAACGAATCAATTTGCGCCTCTGACTTCCCCCCACCCCACCCTCCTGCCCTTCGTGCTTTTCTTCTCTTCCGTGGCTCTCTTTCAGAGGAAGACTCGGTCACGGGAGGTATTGCCCTGCTCGCACCTCCCTCTCTGCCTCCCTCGCTGCTGCTACCAACGGACTGCCTCTCTGTTGAGACTCTGGGGGAAGACTCTCACCTGCTGGAAAATCTGGGGATCACGCTGAACGGGGGTATGGTGAAACCTGCACTTGGTGCGCTGACTGCTGCTGGTGCTGCTGATGTCGCTGGGGTTGTCACTGGAAATGACACGGGGATTCAGAAGAACGAGATGCTGAACAGGATCCGGCTTTTGGCGCGAAAGGCTGGGCAGCTGCGAGCGAAGGAGGAGACGCGTGAAGATCAGAATCTGCAGGTGTTGGAGGAGCAGAAAGTATCAATGGCGGAAGGAGAGAGGACAACGGTCAATGGAAAGGCGCAGATTGAGGTGGAAAACCGATTGGTGGAACACGAGGAGCAAGAGAGAGGAGGAGCTGACGGCGATCATCCGCACGGATTCAAGATCATCAAGGTATGCGGTGGTATATCCGTATCCAACAATGCTTCTTTCACGTGTAGATGCTCGGTGCGTTCTTCCTTGGGGGATTACAAGCCCTGGATCTATGAATGTCTATGCTCTCAGCTCTGATTCCAGGTACCGACCGCTCTGCCTGATGCTAGCTGCCTTGAGGCCAGCTGCCTTGGGGGAAGCTACTCTTTCAGCGCTTGATGATCACTAAACATAGCGTGGCAGCAGCGATCGAGTGATTGAGTGGATAGATCGGTTGTGCTCTTGCCTTCGGAAAGTTCATGCTTGTAGTGCCGCCGTTCCCTCTTGTCGCCCCCTCTTGCTCGTGCCAGGAGGAGCTCAAGTTCTCTCGCTTCCTCAAGATCTACAGCCGCGTCGTGGAGGTGAGGCATGGGAGCAGTTGATCGATTAGCGCATTGAACCATTAGCTAGTGTATCCCAGCACTCGTTCCTTCACCCTCCTGTTTTTTTCCTTCAATCCGTACTCGTGTACTCCTAGTTCCCCTTCCTCTCCTCCGTCCCACTTCCATTTCTGACCCACTTCTTTCCACCTGTGTCGCCCCATCAGCACCCGCCACTGCCTCTCGCGCAGCAAGAGCCACAGCATGCCGCGGGTACCGGCCCCGTCACGCCCACATTCGACCAGATATCAGCAGCCACTGTAGCTCCTGCTGCTGGTGCAGCTCGTGCAGCTAACGGATCTGCTTATGGGGCGTCTGGTGCAAGGGGCCCGATCGTGGCCGCCTGTGCAGCAGGACCCAGCCTGCAGAGCACCTCTTTTCAGCAGCAGCAGGGTCAGCAGGAGCAAGGAGGGGGGCAGGGGCGCGGGCAGAAGGTGGTGGAGTATGACATTGTGTCGTCCGCCAGCAGCCACTTCATCTGCGTGCTGCCCTTCCACTCCGCCACCCAGTCCGTCACCCTCCTCAAGGAGTACGCCCAGGTGTGTGCCAGTCCTACACATGATGCATTTCGAGTTGACTTGATCACTCCGCCACCCAGTCCGTCATCCCACAGACCATGCCCTGTGGGGTCCTCAACAGCTCGCACACGCTCTGTTACCTCTTTCCTCCATCGCACCTCACCGCCATGCAATGTATCCCATGCCCTCCTCCCCCACAGGGCGCCAACAGCCTGCTGTACACGGTGCCGTGTGGGGGCCTCAGCAGCTCGCATGCGTCGCTGGAGGATTGCGTCCGGAGTGAACTGTCCGAGGAGGTGAGCTGCCAGTCCGCACCACCATGTGCTTCCGAACATGCATGCCACTTTGCATCCCAAAGTGCATCCCAAAGAGGCCTGCTTGTATCAGACGCAATCTGCACCACCATGTGGTTGTCCGATTTGCATCAGACGCTGGAATATTGTGTCGTTCTTTCCTTCACTCCTCTCAGCCCCTGTCTCCCTCCGTCCCACCCCTGACTCAACCCCTGCCACCCCCAGGCGCGTCTGCGTAGCGGCCGGCTCGTGAGGCTGATTCTTGAGGACCACCCGGGGCTGCTGGAGGTGAAGTGGTGCAAAAACCGCTTCACACCGTTCCTTGTCATCGATCCGCTGCCCGATCCCACCCCGCTGCCACCCCCTAACTCAATCCCCTCAACCCCTGACTCAACCCTCACCACCAGGCGCGTCTGCGTGGCGGCCGGCTTGTCAGGTTGATCCCTGAGGATCACCCGGGCCTTCTCGAGGTGAAGTGGTGCAAGAACCGCTTCACACCGTTCCTGGTCATCGACCCGCTCCCCGACCCCACCCCGCTGCCGCGCGACCCGGAGGAGTTCATCCAGGTGCTGCACCTGCCGGCCCGCGACCTTGACAGGCTGGCGCTGGGCGGCGACATGCTGCTGCCGTCTGTTGTGACGTGCACCATGGCTCTGCAGTACCTGCGGGAACACAAGTTGCTGTGACTGGGCGGTGTGTTGCTGGGGGCTGGATGCACCGTCATCCCCTTCTTGCTTCTTCAGCCCCTTGCGGCTAGGTTTCCCCCCTGGGGCTAGGTTCCTGGGAGGGGGTGGTGGTTGGGACCATCATTCTCTGTAGTCACGTGCACCATGGCACTGCAGTACCTGGGGGAGCACCACCTGCTGTGACTGTAAGGGGCGGTTGGTTGCAGTGTGGAAGCTGGGAGCGGGGGCTGTGGCCACCTTTCGCTGTAGTCACGTGCAGAAGGTGGTATGCACCATGGGGCTGAAATAACCAAGGGACTGTCAGCTAATGTGACTGTAAGGGGCGGAGGGGTTGCTGGAGGTGGATCATGGATGGAGTGATGTGAGGTTTGGCTGGCTATTGTATTGTCGCATGAGGTTTGGCTTGGCCATGCATCTTGCCTCCTGATGTGCAACGAGGCACCATAGGTATGGGGGTGGTGTGGTGGTGGTGTGGTGGTGGTGGGTGTCGAGAATGGGGGGATGGTGGGGTGAATGTAGGACCATCTAATTAGGGGTTATACTGGGGCAAGACAGGTGCGTTGGTAGCAAGGTTGCCTGTCACGGGCACTTCTCGTGCCCCCTTCACTGTAGCCCCTTGTGGCTGTACTCTATACTAATACATGCTGTGGTATGCAGAATACGGTATGGGGTAATCCCAAGCTTCAATCCGCCACCGAATCATACAGTATATCTATCTACCAGGATAAACGGATATGCACACCACCTGTCAGCTTCTAGCCTACTAAACTGCAAGCAAAGCTACCCAACAAAGCAACCCAACACCGCATCCCATAAAGTGATGCTGCAGGATCTCAAGACCTTGATCCTACAGGTCAACACTCTGCTACTGCAAAGACACGCACTGTGTGACCTCCATGCCTCTCCTGCTCCTGCTCGCCTTGCCTCGCCTCCTCTGCCTCCTCCTCCTCTTCCTGCTCCTGCTGTGGCGGTGTTTTCCCCTTGGCAGACTCCTCTGCCTGTCCACCTGGTCCTGACTTGAACCGCCACAGCATTTTCTTCAACACACTCCTCGTGCTCTTCACACCCTCCTCCTGGCCCCTCACACTGCCACCCCTCACATCCTCATGCGCTGCTGCAGCACCACCCCTCATACCCCTGTAACCACTGCAATTAGGACTGCCACCATCCAACCCCCCAGCCTCCCTTGCGTTTGCCTGCGTCCCTCCCACCGCCACCCACTCAGCATCTGCCTCAATGTCGCTCCACTCCCCCAGGACGTTATCGCTGCTCATACTCCTATAACCAGTCTCTCTATTAGAAACAGACCGGCCCTTCCCCTGCAACAAACCCCTTTCTGATGTCTCCCAGACCTTGATTTCTGCGCCGGCCCTGCCCGAACCTCCAGCTGGAAAACCACCACCACCTGGGGAGAATCTCCGAACCTGTACCGTGTCCCCAAGCCTTGGAGCCTGCGTTGGTGAACCGAGCCTCTCAGCCTGCATTGGTGAACCGATCCTCCCAGCCTGCGTTGGTGACCCGAGCCTCCCAGAGTGGCCTAATACACCTAACCTCTGAGCTTGCATCGGCGCACCATGCCTTCCCTTCCCATCCTTCCATGGCAGCTGAGCCACTACTGGGCTCCTTGAGAAACTCCCATCACTCCCCTCCTCGCTCCCCTCCCCCCCCTCCTCTTCCACTGCATCTGCCACTGATAGCTCAGGCAGCGACGGGGTGAAGCGGTGCAGAGATGGGGTATGGGGTCGGCCTGTCGCGATGCTCTCTCTGGTAGGCCGCGCCTGCTGCACCTGTGGGGCCTGCTGGTACTGCTGCACGTGCTGCACGTGTTGCATCTGGTGCTGCTGCTGCTGCATGTGCTGCTGCTGCATGTGCTGCTGCTGCATGTGGTGCTGCTGCATGTGCTGCTGCTGCATGTGCTGCTGCTGCATGTGCTGCTGCTGCATGTGCTGCTGCTGCAAATGCTGCATCTGGTGGATCTGGTGCGACTGTGGGCCCTGCTGGTACTGCTGCACGTGCTGCATTTGTTGCATCTGCTGCACCTGCTCGATCTGCTGCTGCTGCATCTGCACCTGCTGTGACTGTTGCATGTGCTGCAGGCGGGGGGAATTGCTACCAGCTGCAGCAGAGGGCTCGTGAGGAGAGCGAGCAAACCTGGGGGCCACCAATGCCTTACGAGGCGTCGGGGGTTTCTCTGCTGACGGTCGAGAGACAACAGTGGATGCGGACAGGTGTGTGTGTGCTGGCCTGATGCTGCAGGGGGAGTTGAAGGCTGCAGGTGCCACCCCGGGCAGATTCTCGGTCAGCACCGAAAGCGAGCTGCTCCTGCGATGAACGCCCCGGGCAGGTTGCCGGGCAGGCCTGGGCATGGTGGGGGGAAAGGAAGGAGCGTGGGTGGCGGAGATGGGGGAGGTGCAAGCGGGGGAGGCGCCAAGGGGGGAGGCGCAAGCAGGGGAGGCGAAGGAGTGGAAAGTGGAGGAGGTGGGGGAGTAGGAGGCCTGCGTAGGGATTGCGGACCGAGAGGGGAGTGTGTGGTCATAAGAGACTGTGGAGGAGGAGGGAGGGAGGATGGAGAGAGAGGAGTAAGGGGAGGAGTGAGCGGAGGAATGGGGGGAGCGGAACGAAGACTGGTGCATGGAATCGGGTGGGCCATGGGAAAACTGTCCTGTTGCGGCAAAATGGGTGGTGCTGATGTCGTTCGTAACCGTCTGCACTGGTGTCGGAAGGCCCTGCCCAAGCGAACCGGTGGTACAGTCTCTATTTGCACAGTAAATCACCCCGGGTAGCAAGACAGGGGCGCATGGAGAAGGGGGGGCATTTCCGCCCTTGTGAGCTGACACTGCTGCGGAGACCAACACAGGCGGCGCGGACGGCGAGGGAGCATCCCCAGGCAGTGTGACTCTATCGCGCGTGCCGTTAGCAAATATCGCGGCGAAATCGAGAGAGCCTTCGGGTTCTGTTACGTCAGCGCCGCCGTCTAACGAAGGGGCACGAGGCCGCGGCAAATCCGATCCGTCAGGATGTTGCACCTGTACCGAATCGTCTGACCATTGGGAGTTTTCATCGCGCTTTGCGCGCGGCGTAGGAACTAAGCTGAAAGCGTATTTAACGTGCGCCTCCCCCGTCCCCTCCCCCGCTTCCTGCCCTTCCGCCGCCTCCCCCCATTCGCTCTTCCGCGCCCCCGCAGGCGCACGCCACGAGTCGCGGCGCGTTTCCCCGACATCTGGCGCGCCGTCAGGGTCATTGGCTGGCGCGCCGGCGGTGGCGGCGGAAAGCCGAGCCAGCGCGAGCGACCGCGCCGACTGCGCCGACTGCGCCGACTGCGGGGAGTGCGGAGCGGGCTCCGCGTCGAGGCAAGTGAGGTCGATGTTGTCAATGCGCAACCCCACCGCCTCCATGCGCCGACACTGCTGCTCCAGCGCTGTCGGGGTTGGGCGAAAGGGGGGAGTGGGTGGCGGAGTGGGGGGGAGGGGTGAGGGAGGAGATCGGGGATGGGAGGGAAATTAGGAAGGAGAATCTTATTGCAGCCCCACCAACTCCATCCGCCGACACTGCTGCTCCAGCGCTGTCGATTGAGTAAAAAGGGGGAAGGGAGATGATTGAGGAGTGAAGGGAAGCAAAGAATGTGGGCCGGCGCGGAATCGAGGTCCATACTAGGCTTGTCGTGCGACCGTCGTTTCAACTCAAGTCGCTCCTTCTGCCACTCCCCTCTCTGGTCCCCTCGTCCTTTCTGCTCGCCTCTCACCTTCCCAACTGTCATCGCGCGAAGCCGCTCTAACCATCACGTGGCGCTGCATATTTCCGGCGCCGCCGCCGCCGCCGTTGTCTGCAAACTCGCGATCCGTCGCCATCCCCGGGCCTTCCACGCTGCGCGACCGCTGCACGCCGCCGCCGCCGCGTCGCACCCGACCCGTCGGCTTCCAGCCAGGACCGGCCCGTTCCACGACGGACTCCGTCACGGAATCCGTCAGAGCGTCCGGCGTCTCAGAATCCGTCCAGCGATTTCTGGCTACCGTGGCTGCCGGCGAGCGTAATCTGCTACCACCTAGCGGATGCGCGTTGGCACTGAGCGTCCGCCTAGCGCCGCAAACGTCGCCGCAACCGCCGCCGCCCGCGAAGGCGTCGATCTCGGCCCAGCGAATGGGTTCGCCTGCCATGCTGGCGTCTGCCCTGGACGCGCCACGGGTAGCGCGCGGCGAAACGACCTAAGGCAGAATTCGAGCGCACTCAGCGTGTTTCTGGCAGGTGATTGCTTTCTGAGGCGCCTCGAAACTCAAGAGTCGTCCGGTGTGCAGGCAACTACGCGCCGCGTTGATTGAGAGGTCCAGCTGGTCGTTCTGTTGCGGAAAGGTTCGCCATGACAATGTTAAGCCGCCGTGATCGTTACTTCTAGGCCGATAACTCAAACTGGACCGCAATATTCGTGGCATGCTCTACGATGAACTGATGAGCTACTCATGCGCAGGCGTCATGACGAAACAAACGGACCAGTTACCAGCTGTACTAACTTTCATACGCAGGCAACTGCGGAGTTCTCGCGAAGGAGAATTGTTGAGGACAGAAGTGTGCAGCGGAAAATGGATTGGCGCCAGGCCTGTCGAAGTTCCTGGGACCCATACTTGCGCTCCCCAGCTCCTCCCCATCTGACCCTGTTTTTGGTGTAGCTGAGCGTTTGGGCGCCCTTAACGGTCACGGGCGCACCCCAAAGTGAAAACTTAAAATCCGGGCCTGTGAAGAGTTTGCACTTAGACGCGAAGGGAAATTTTGGGTGCTCTAAAGCTGACTTTCAAACACGGGATGGCTAGAAAACGCTAAGGGAAAAATCCACTCCTCTCGTGCAACCTCAGGAGAAAGGAGGGGGGGGGGGCCCTTGAAGACGCTAAGGGAAAATTCGGGTGCTCCAAGCTTACTTAGACACTTTACTAACGAAGGATGGCTAGAAAATGTTAAGGAAAAATCCACTCCTCGTGCAACCTAAGGAGAAAGGGGGAGGGGCGGGGGGGGACACTCAGACGCTAAGGGGAAATTCGGGTGCTCCAAGCTGGCTTAGAAAACGCGAAGGGAAAAATCCACTCCTCTCGTGCAACCCGAGGAGGAAAGGGGGGGGGGAGAGGGGACACTTAGACAATAAGGGTTCGGGTACTCCAAGCTGACCTAGACGCTTTACAAACACAGGATTGGCTAGAAAACGCTAAGGGAAAAATCCACTCCTCTCGTGCAACCTGAGGAGAAAGTGGGTGGGGTCAGGCAAATTTGGGGGGGTAGTGGGTCCTACAACCAGAAACCAAAACTTCGAGATTGGGCCCTTAACGCATCCGGGGAGGGTCGAGCGCGGCACTTAGTGGCACGGGTGCAGTGCGAATCTAACTATTTTGGCAGTCGAGCTGGAGCGAAAGTAGCCCGGAATGTTCAGGGCATTAAGGGCATATGCCCTTGAATCGACAGGCCTGATTGGCGCTCGTCCCATTCCACCTCTCCACGAGGTCGAAGACCGTAAGGACGCTAGACGAGATTGGCCCGCACGTGCTGGCTAAAGACGAGAACAGAAGAGGCAGAGGAGGCATGCAAGCAGGCAGTGGTGATGGCGCAGGGATGGAACACACAACCTAGGCCTGGCACTCGTGCTTTTCTGCATGAGATTTTTGCTGCGAGCAGTGCTGCAGTAAACTCGCCCCCACGCTGGTGATGATGATCGTCCGTACACTTCACTCACTCACATCACATCATTGCGCTGCGCGCCTGGTTGTTGACATTCGCCACAAGAAACGAGCCTCGCCAAGTTCAGCCCAAACCAGGGAAGCACAACCGCCCAACGTCGCCAAAGCTCCGCTTGAAGCTAATATTTGCTTCGGCCTCACTTTAGCCAATTACAGCTGCCACACACACGTCGCCGAAGCAGCGAACAGCTGGATGAGGCAGGGGGTACCCTGCCATGCACGAGTCATGCATGGTCACGAGGGACAGAGTGGTTTGTGCGTAGAGATTGGTTTGTGGCGGGGAGTTCATCGCCTGACAGCTGGCTCCTTCGTCGTGACTGAGTCGTGACTCTCCAAGAAATCCTCGCTGAGCCGGCCAGGTACAAGTGTGATTTGTCTGTTTACAGACCCGATACGAAATAAAGTCGGGATGTCTATATATTCTCCCTTTTAAGTGGGAGTATATCTTATGCAGTATTCCCGTAAACTAATTATGGTAACCCCATCTCGACATCTCTCGCTGAGTGCCAAGCAAGTCGTGGAAAGTGGCGGCGAGCTGCACAATCGTTGCCAAATGGCAATCAATCAGCGGTCCTACATCAGTGGAGCTCCGTGTGGATAGGGTTTCGTCAGCAGATTCCATCCAAATCCTCCACACCACCGCCTCACACCCATCACCCATCTTTCCCACATCATACGGCCGTCGCCAAACCATACGCACCGTCGATCGTTTTCAAGCATACCACCTTTACGGTTGCGATCTTCCTTTCAAAATCTCACCACACCTGGCACTCCCGACTGCTCACCCTCAGCCCCTCCACACCCCTCCCTTTTCCCAAATCCTCCCTAACTCTCTCCACCGCGGCAAATCTCTCTGCCTACTCTTCCAACCTTCCGCTTTTCCCTCTCGATCTTATCTCTGATTCCCTCCGTCTCTATCTGCTGCTGCTTCTCCGTCGCTCCCTCTCTCTCCCTCACCACAACGGACAGCAGAGGTAGTCATTTTCACGCGAGGCTGCATTTCCCTCTTCAGTAGCCATAGTTGCTGCTGTTGCCCTCCTGCTAGTCTGCCATTCAGGCCGTAGCTTCGGTCTCTGCACATAGACGACAATGGCTGCCGTCGCTGCCTCCGCTATGGCGTCTAGCCTCACCGTCAAGGGCCTGAACAGGTCCTTTGTTTCCGGCAAGAGCCTTCGCTCCGCCGCGAAGCTTCCTTCAGTCGTTAGCGCCGCTAGGCTCGTGTGCGACGCTAGGGAGAACAAGACCGTCGCCAGCCATGCGACGATCTCGTCCGCTGCGTCGTCCGTCGTCGAGGGTATCTTCGGAGAGAAGGCGTCGAGACAGATGCACCACGCTGCGATCATTGCGATGAATGCGATGATCGCCATGCCAGCGTTCGCAGAGGAGGAGAAGGGAAAGATTTTCGACTTCAACCTGACCCTCCCCATCATCGTCGTTCAGTTCCTCATCCTCATGGTTGCTCTCGATACCATCTGGTTCAAGCCGGTTTCCACCGTCATGGATTCCCGTGACGAGGAAATCAGGAAGAAGCTCATTGGTGTCAGGGATAACTCTGGCGAGATTAAGGACCTGCAGAGCCAGGCCGAGGCGTTGATTAAGGCGGCTCGCGCCGAGGCGTCAGGGCAAATGAACGCGATGAAGAAGGAGGTGGCTGCTGAGCTGGACGCGAAGCTGCAGGCGTACCGCGCGCGCATCGAGAAGGAGCTCGAGTCGTCGCTCGCGAACCTCGAGACGCAGAAGCAGTCGACCCTTAAGAGCCTCGACTCGCAGGTGTCCGCTCTCAGTGACGAGATTGTTAACAAGGTCATCCCCTTCAAGGCTTAGGGGTCTACTTACGGTTATTTTTTGAAAGGTGATTTATGACCTGCTTGTCTACTTATTCGCCGATATTTACGCAACTAGGGTTTCTGCTTCTTTTAAAATACCTCCTGGAGCTTAGCCTAGGTAATTTTTGCATTGATGTGGCTGAGAGACTTCAAAGCATGTGCATATTGCTCCCGTTGGCGTGTACCAAGGTGTAATGCCGAAGGTTGAGTTATTCTCCAGAAAAGGTATTCCTGTCAGTCAGTCACACAAAAGTGCTGACGCAGGCAGTGCAATTGTAAAGGCAGGGCAAGAAAAGAACCCCACATGGAAGGCATGCCATTCGGGAGGCATGAACCCTAAAATTTAGGGTTGAGGCTCCCGAGCAGGGCAATTTTATCAGTGTAAATCACCCTGATACCCTGATTATCAGGGTGGTTTTTGGTAGTCACACTGATGGCCTAGGGTAATTTTTTCGGGAGCTAGAATTTTCCTGATATGCCAGAGTTTACATTTAAGGCATTCTGATGACTCAAGGTTACCGATTTCAAAACGAGTTTTACCCTGAAGCGCGTAACATCACCCCCTTCCCCCTAACTCCCTCCCCCCCAATTCGCCTACGCACTTCTGTCCCAGTAAAATAACTTAAGTTATAATATGAGCTACCGAAATACCGCGTTGGAGTGGTCTGGTCGGTTATCTGGACTTCGTAACGATGATGGCTCTAGATCGGTCCTCGGCTTCGATTTTTTGTTTGGAACTTTCGTAGAAACACTTCATCAGGGTATTCAAAATTGTTACACTGGCATAAGGGTAAATTTTTTGAAACTATGGAAAACCCTGATGGAAAAGAATTTTCCCTAGGGGTCACACTGATAATCAGGGTTTTGCGAAGGTGCAGGACTGATGATAAGGGTTGCTTAAAACAAAAAATTAGCCCTACTCCCGAGTTGCATGCAGTCCGAATGGGTTTTAGTGTTTTCTGCCCGCGAGCAGAATGCTGACTCATCCTGTAGCGTCGCTTAGCGAAGCGGTAGTGCTACCAAGCGCTACCGACACTACCGAGAGAGATGTATTGGAACGGATCGCATGCAGACTCTAGACAATTTGCAGGTATGTCTTTATGGACACTATATATTTATGGCCTGCTCCAGGAAAGCACAGTACTGTACCCTAAATCTAGCTTCATAAGTAGTGAATATGCCAGTCAGAAACGTTTTCTATACTACTCTCCCACCAACTGAGTCCAGGGCAGCCACAGTAGCTTTAGCATGAAGCTTCCCCTGCTCTTGGAATGCCTCAACCATGGCTGCTCCTACAGCCCGGCCAACCTCCTCACTATCCACCACTGCCACGGCAGTCGGGCCTGCCCCACTGATGGTGCACCCATGTGCCCCCGCTGCCTTGGCTGCTACCTTAACTGCTGACATCCCGGGAATCAGAGGTGAGCGCCGTGGCTCCACTATCGTGTCCGAAGCTGCTTGTAAGGAGGATGAGAGAGGGAGCACAGACAGCATTTGAGAAACAGACTTTATAAAGCAATGACCAAACTGGAGCAAATGCAAATCCAAATGATACAGGGAATGGCTGAAATAGGAGAGAGCACTCGCTAAGGGAAGCAGTTCTCACCGAGGGCAGCACCGAGCAGGCGAGCGTCGCCCGTGTGGATGGCATGGATGAGAGCCGCTGCCTGGCTGCTGTTGGCCACATGTGATGCCATCGTGATCTGCTTGCATGCCATGCCATGTAAAGGCACATCACACCATGGTAGATGACAAAACCAAGAGATGTGAGAGACGAATCCAGAATCTCCCATGCAGTGGCACCACATCACATCATATCCGGCCAGGTCAGGTTCAGCTTCTACATCACAGCACGCCATATTGGGGAGCTCTCACCTCCTTTGGCAGCGCTGCCCGCATCTCCTTGGTGGGCGCCTCAAACGCCGGCGTCACGACCACAAAGAAGAGCTTCTTCCCCTCGCCGAACGCGAGCGGGATGAGATGCAGCGGCCGGTACGACCGCACGAGCACAAAGCCCCCCATGAGCGCCGGCGCAACGTTGTCCGCATGGTAACCGCTCACCGCAGCTTCGGATTGTAACCCCGCCAGCACCAGCTGTGCTTTGGAGAGCGGCGAGCCAAAGAGAGCGTTCACTGCCACGGCTGCTGCTGCTGCACTCGCAGCACTGGAACCCAGTCCACTCCCCAATGGCAAGCCCTTGTTCAGAGTGAGGCCGATCACGGGAAGATTTGATCCTGATCCGCTGCTTCCGCCCTTGCCGTCCAGGCCGTAGAGGCCGAGGAGCTCCATGGTGGCGCGGGCAGCGATCCCGATGCAGTTGGTGGTGGGATCGAATCCCAGCCGTCCGTTGTCGCCCTCAATGCTCTCGATGATGATGTTGCCCGAGGGCGGGGCGGGCACGTCCAGAATCTGTAGAGGGGCCGCGCAGAGGATGCGGGGGAAAGGGGGAAGGGAAGGAGGGAGGCAGGAGACCGAGGGGATAGGTGGGCTGGGCCAAGGGAGGGGATGCCAAGACTTTGAGAAATGAGAGGTGCAGGAGAGAGTAGTAAGTAGCTCTATCAGATAACACCTACCCGAGGGGATGGAGGCGTTTCCTCATGTAACACCCACCCCAGGTAGCGCCTACCCGAGCCGTGACGTGGTCGCCAAGCCCCTCCACGGCGCATCCGAGGAAATCGAATCCCGGGCCGAGATTCGCCACTGTCGCCGGCGCGAACGCCGTCACCTCCTGCCGCGCCACGGCCGGCGGCGCGTCCAGCAGCGCCTCCAGATATTCCGGCGCAGATGCCGCTGAGGCTGTGATCACGGGGCGCGCTGCGCAGACGCGGGACTGCAGAAACACGGGGATCGGCGGAGATCGAAAGTGCGGAAGGGGAATCATGGACGGGGAAACGTGGAAGGGCGAGGAGAAAGACGGGGAGCGGCGGGGTGGGGATGGGAGGGGGGTGGCGGAGGACGGGGGTCGCGGGGAAGGGGAGGAGACAATGTGGAAAGGATTATGTTATGCAATAATGCGTACAAGCTAACCGCACATTGTGGCCGAACGACTTGTGCACCATTCGCCGTACCTTCGTTTTCTGCTGTGCGGGCTTGGCGCGCAGGGTGAGGGGCGGGCGGGGAAGCAGCGCCGACGGCGCGCTGCTGGTCAGCGCGCGCAGGCGGGATATTGCGCCATTTGGCTCAGACGCGGAGGCTGCGGGCGCAGAGGTGGCACAGGGTAGGCGCACGGTGACAGAAGCCATTGGCGCGATCGAGGGCGCGGATTATTCGGCGGGATGCGCACGTATTAGCCAAGGATGCTGGCGCTAGGGTGGGATTTCTGGGTTCAGAGCCGAGGTTCAGGGAAATCGGAAATTTGTAATGTTTTTTTTCCCAAGTGCTTTGTACTAATGTCTATCTACAGAATATGAATCTGTAAGCAAATACGACATTATGGTTCCGGACATTCGCGGTTATCGAGCTGTACGTGTAGCGAGAAGTATACAAGAACCATCACATCGCTCCACACGGCAGCCAGAAAGTTCGCCACGTGGAAATGACGCTGATCTGGCACATCCAATCGTGGATTTCAGATCTTCGGCATGACATGCGGTGCGGAGCGCATCGCCTAGAAACCTGGCTTTCCAGGGACAGGGGAGGCAGATCACTCCCCTCCCGCAATGAGGGGAACCCGCAGCTCCGCTCCGCTCCACACAGACTCGATTGTCCCAGAAAGCAAGATTTTCCCCTCTCGCTTCCTCTCCGTCCGCGCACTCCTCCCCTTCCACCCTTGTCACCCTCCGCACCATGATTCACCCTTCTGCACCGTTTTAACCCCCAACGAGGCTCATTTGCAGCTCCCAATTGCGATGACTACAATTTGCAGATTTCTATACCTAGGCCGCGAATTTGTGCCGTGCTACTAGCTCCTTCCCAGCTAATCCGTCCACTGAATTAGTTCATTTTGGTTCGGCGGGCAGCGGTAGGCACCTGACCAGAGAGTTAATATCCGTTTTTGGAACACGTAAGTCGTGTCGGACTTCATAATTTAGTACACACGTCGCCATGTCGACGTCATTCGCGTCGTGCCATACGCGCGCCGCAGCCACAGCGGGGCTCATCCCCCGCTGCGCAGCATCCGCGACTACCCAACTGCACCTCGTCTCCGCCACAGGCGCAACACCCACAGCCGCGTGCCGCGCCGTTACCCATCAGCGTGCAGCTTTCCTCCCCCGCCCAGCCCTCTCCCCGCGCCACCTCTCCTCCACTTCCGCCCTCTCCCCATCTCTCCACGCGCTCTCCGTTCGATCCACCTCCGCGCGCCTACCGCCTCGCGCGCCCGGCGCAGTGCGCGTAAGCGCGCGCGGGGGAGGCGGAGACGGGAGCGTGGGGGTCCCGGAGCGCATCCTCTCCGCCAGCGTCTACTTCCTCCCGCTCCTAGACGGCGCGCGTTACGCGCGATTCCTCTACGCGCAATACCCCTTCACGCGCGTGATCCTCGACCCGATCATCCCGCTCGTTCAAGCTTACAACTCCTTCCCGTACGCCGGCCTCATCCTCTTCTTCCTCCTCTATCTCGCCGTCATCCGCAACCAAAACCTCGACCGTTACGTGCGGTACAACGCGATGCAGGCCGTGATTCTCGATATCCTCATGATCCTGCCGTCTCTCATCGAGCGCCTGTTCGCTGGCAACGACGGCATCTCGCTACAGCTGACGATTATTTTCTACAACACCGTGTTTCTGTACCTCTTCGCGTGCTTCGTCTTCGGCGTCGTGTCGTGCCTCCTCGGGAAGACTCCCCGCTTGCCCATCGTCGCGGAAGCCGCCGACGCGCAGGTGCCGTTTTGAGTGACGGCCGCGCGCTGGGGAGGGGGGAGTGCGCGCGAGGGTGCTCGCGGGGTTCCGCCGGGCTTTCCGCTGAGGGATTCGCAGGGTGGTGAGTATGTGCTGTTTACGCGGCGTATATCTTTCACCATTGTCTGCGTCGTGTAGTTTATGTAGAATTGACTTGCCTTCACTCGTTTTCCTTCGCGTTTCTTTACATTGTAGTTCAACGTAGCTACTATTTTACACTAAATTCACTCTTCCACGGCTGCAGCCGTGGCGGTTCCATGGAAAAAGAACAGCAGAGCCGCAACCAGCAGCACAGGGAAATTTACACCACTGAAAATAAACTTGTCAATCGACCGAACTAACCGTTTTGGACGAATTTGCATTTCCCTCATAACCCCCCGACTTCCCCAACCCCACATACCCTCTCCCTCCACCTCCTGCGTCACCGCCATTTTCCTCTCCTTTCCTCAATTCTCACCGCCGTTCCCCTCCATTCCGCTTCTTTCCCCACCATATTTCTCCCCTCGCCCCCTCGCTCACTGCCGTTCGTCTCCCCGATACCCATTAGCCCCCCCTTAACCGCCCCTCGCCTTTCTCCACAACCCCAACCCACTATGCAATTTCCCTACCATCTCCCTCCCTCCCTCGCTGCGTTTTTCCTCCTCTCGCTGCCGCTCCCTCCCTGCTGTTATCATTCCCTCTCTCCCGCTCTCCTCCCCACTCCTCCCCTCCCTTTCCCCAGTTCACCACAATTCCCTCCCCAATCCGTCACTGCCATTTCCCTCTTCGCACCACCATTTTCCCTGCTATCTCATCTGCGTTCCCCACTCACCTGTGTTCCCCTCACACCTCGATAATATATGGGACCCCTCATTAGCACCCTCAAATGGCTTGGACAGTATGTAGCACTGTAACCCTCAATAACCCTTGGCTTCGGGCTCTGTTTGATGGCTTGGGTGCGCTATCCACATCAACTTCATTCTAGTGGTGAAAACCCAATACAGTGCATATCCATGCTGGTGGTCAGGCTAGGTTGGAATCGTCAGCACCAGTTTAATGCACCATTGGTTATCATGGCTTATTGAAACACCTCCATCTGCTACCACCACAAGGTGTTTTGTTTCCAATCCAATCTGAACCAAAGAATTGCTTGGGGCCACACACACTTGTTGCAGGGAGACCAAATCGAGAGATTGCAGTGTTGTTCTCATTACAGCTGCGAATAAAATATGCTGGATATATGTTTTGGGACTTGTCGTGTACCATAAATTAAATGGAATACAGTGTTTGCTGCTTTCCATGCATTGGGTGGGAAGAGCTTCTGGAAGAGTGTACAAAAGCAAATGAAATAGGGTGATTGTATCGATTGTCCCGCATGACGAAAGTGGCTCATTTCTGGCTAATCCTGGAATTCTATCTGGGCTCGAAGCGTCCCGACCAAATTCACTGTGAGCGCCGATGTTTGTTTCCTGTCTGGTGGGGCATGCACAGACACCTGAACTGAATTGAAGGAAAGCTCTACCGTGATTCGTGGACATGTTCTTCACAGTCAACCGTACCGTACGGTAGCTGTAATTCGTAACCACCTCAGGTGAGGATTTTCCCCTGATAGCTTCCGTTCATCCCGCTGCTTATCACCCTGGCAGAACACGACGAACCGCTGCTGATTTTTTTCCGTTCTCGGTGTTGTCGCACCGCTGCTGGTGGCGGAGGGGGGATTCCTGGGAAGCGGGAGTGTGCTTCAGCGGATTCCGAAACGCCACGCCTGTGCAACGAGTGGCGCTCATTCATTCCTCTCCCCTTCTGCGAAGGTCGCTGAATTCATTTCGCCAACTTTGCCTGCGCCTGGCTCGGGTGAATCTGAGCAGCCACGCGTCGCATGTCGGTTCTTGATTTCTCCTGATTGCACTGGTTCTTCTCGTCTTATTTGCCTCCACCTCGGGCAAATATGCCATGCCATGCCATGTCATGGGATTTCTGTTCACACAAGGGCACAGCCTTTCCGCACTGTGGCGTCGCGTCGCCCTCACGCATGTCGTCTCATCAGTGGCAATTCTGTGCACCACATCAACGCAGCACAGAACGCTATTTTCAACAAGCACACATGCAGCAGCACCAATCTTCCACTCGCAAGACAAGACATAAATCCCAACTTCAAACCTTATAGCTGATTATTCAACCCCAGCTGCAAACCTCCACAGGCTGAATTTCTACCACACCGAGAGAGTGTCTGACCCACAAGCAACAAGCCTTTCCAGCCCAAGCCTCAACACGCACCAGCGCTGTTATTGGAGCCCTCTGTGACCCTGCGACCGTTTACTTTTCTCGCAGCGTGGTTTTCCTACGGCAACATCCGCTCCTCCCGCATAACCCACGCCTCTCGTGAAGCGATGTTTCACAGCCTCGCCTGATGCCTCCGCCACGCAGCCCCCCGTTCATTCTTCGGTGCAGCGCCAGACCAAGTTGTTAACGCTTAGCGAAGCAGCCTCCTGCTTCGTATTGTGCACTTGAGACAGGTCACATGCACCTTGCAGCAGACTCGCCGTGAAGCATACTTGAAAGAGACAGTCAACACTTAGCCTACATCATCTATCCGCCTCGGGAACCAGGTCACTCGGACTATCGCATCGGCCTTTCGGACCCTAGTGCCAGCGCACTACGCGGAAACCATATCAACCGGATTAATCGCCGTGAATTGCGGGCAGTCATGGAGAGCGCGCGGAAGTGCGTACGGTGGGAGATGGGGTCGCCGCTGTGCGTGCGATCGCCCGTTTCGTCGTTCACAGCAGGCGCTTTCAGCGACGGCAAATCGCGATCCAAGGTAAAAGCATTTCCTTTTGACCCGACTCTAACTTACTCGTAATAATGCACATTTGAGAGAAGGCAGGATCATGGTTTCCCGTGTGCGATGGCCGCATCTGCGCAACGATACCCGACGATTCGGTAGCGAGTCGTTACGCAGACCCGTTTTCGTCACGAGGTCGCACATTGACGTCACGCGGGACACGGTCGCGGATATGTACTCGCTTCTTTAGAGCAAAGCGGCTGTGGCACTGAATGGAGGCACATAGCCGAGGGAGTGCGGGCTGTAAAGCAAAAAAGTAGGGAGGCTGTAGCAGACGCATTGCGGCGGTTGTAGCAGATGGGGAGCAGCGCAGCCATCGCTGATAGAGAGAGCGATGGTTTGCTCGAGACCAGGTGTAGTTCTGCTAGCGGGCAGGCTTAGGTTCGACGTGATCATCCCTGCCGAGCCTGGTTGTGCCGAGGCTGGCCGTGCCGAGGGTGGCCGTGCCGAGGGGGGATGGGTGGGCAGGTGGTCAGCAGCGGAAGGGCGACGCAACAGGCTGTAGGCATTCAGACGAGAAGAATCGGGAAGGAGTTAGGATCAAGAGAGACATTCCAGTTAGAGCTCGCTAAATCAGACCTGAAGCCAGGCGGACCCTTGCACCAAGCCTTTTTTGTTTTATTATTGAGGCTCCTCAACTATGACCCTCATCGCCGCCCATTTTATCCGTTAGCCACCTCTAATCTCCCCCCCTCCCCACTCTCACCCCGCCCTCTTCCCGTCCCTCCCGCCTAAATCCCATCAGGCCTTCTCATCCCGAGTACTATCCACAGCGCGACTCGTCCTCGTCTTTATTCTCCTCGTCTTCTTCCTCTCGACGCTATGCGCCACCATCGGCGTGCCTAAAATCGATCTATCGGAGCCGGTCGTTCTGATGCGGCGCGGCGACCGCCGGCTAGTCGTCAAATACACTCCTAACTCGGCGGACGACGCTGCGACGCGCGCGATCGTGGATCCCGTCGCCGACCTGTCGCACCCGCGCCTCGCCAAGAGACGAGCGCTCATGCGATACCTGAACGAGGACCAATAACAGGAGAGGAGGGAGGTGGAGCATCTGGAGGGAGAAGGGAGGTTTTTACAGGGGGGTGCATCTAGAGGGGAGGGGAGCAAGGGAGGTGAGCTGTGGTTGGGTCAAGGCGAGCGCTCATGAGATAGTGAAACGTGGACCAATGGCGAGGGCGAAGGTGGTGGCATCTACCTTCACCAGCCGCCGCGAGGGAGAATATGCCTCCCTCCACCGTGGAGGGGGGCGGATGGTGTGGATGTGCAGGGTGTGTGAGGCATCTACTATGCTAATGGATTGGATATGTTAAGGTTAGGAGTGAGACGTCTCTCACAGACAGACCGCCGGACATGCTTGTAGTAGGCATGGCAGATACTACGGTAGTAGGAGACAGTGTACCATGTAAAAGATGTAACCAGATGTATATTACAGTATTAGACTAGCCGATGCAACCCTTACCGGAAAATTCCAGTTCATTTTAAATATATTGCCACAAATGGACCAGCTTGTATTTGGTCATACCAGTAACACAACTCACCATGGATGAACAGTAACTTCGGAGTTATACTGGTATTACTTCAACATCACATAAATTACTACTCCTAGGCTGATGCTGTCCTGCCTGCCACCGATTGGCTCAGGCACATGACTGCAAGCATGGCAGGTGACAAATCAAAGCAGTACGGCTTGACGTCACATGGCCTGGCCTGGCACGCCTTGGTTAGCATGGCATGACAATCAGGCTGTGCTGACGGCTGCAGGTCTGGCCGAAGCTGTCAGCGAGGCTCGGATGACAAGCAGGCGGTCATCATGTCCCCAGGGAATAAGTTGGTCCTTGTTGGAGGGGTTCAGGTGCCACTCCCCCCGGTGCCGATACGCTATCACCAACTCCTCACTCATGCGCACCCGCGCCTGGTGGTGGGGGGAGAGGAGGGGGGTGGGTCGGGCGGGGAGGAGTTGGGTTGATGAAGGGGAGGAAGGGGGGAACTTCGCTGGGGCTGGGAGGGAAAATGGGGGGAAACGAGGCATGGAGCATGCAGGGGGAATAAAAGCTTTTACCAGCCGCTCACCCTAACAGTTTCACATACATAATCACACCTGTTCCTCCCTGCAATCACACCTGCATCTCCCAGAGGTTGAAGATGCCTGCCTCGTGCTCCCCGATAAACTCGTCTGCTCGCCGCACCGCCATGCGATTCCTCTCCGACCCGATTATCTCGTCCAACACCGTGCCCACATCTGGGATGTATGGGGGTTTGTTATGGAAGCAGAGAGGGGGAGGGGGAGGGGAGGGTGGGGGGGGGGGAGGATTTGATAGATGTGATTCTCGTCTGCTCGCCGCACCGCCATGCGGTTCCTCTCCGACCCGATTATCTCGTCCAATACCGTTCCAACATCTGGCAGTGGTGGATACGACAAGAAAGAGTGGGGGGGAAGGGGAGGAAGGGAATGGGGAGGAGGGGTGTGTGGAGAGGTACGGGATGCATAGGGCTTTAATATGGAAGCAGAGGGGGGTAGGGGGAGGGGAAGGTGGGAGGGTGGTTTGATGAATGTGGGCCTTGGACACATTTTCTTCACGTGTGCTCGCTGCTCGCCGCACTGCCATGCGATTCCTCTCCGACCCGATTATCTCGTCCAACACCGTGCCCACATCTGGGGGTCGGAGGGGTTTGAGTGCGTGCAGGAGAGGAGGTAGGAGGGGAGGGTGGTTTGATGAATGCGTTCCACTCCAACCAAATTATCTCGTCCAATACCGTGCCCACATCTGGCGGGGAGGACACCGAGAGAGGAAAAGGGAATTGGGGAGGGGGAGGGCGAGGGGAATGCGGGGTCTTATCCCATACTCGCTGTGGCGCGGCACAATAGAGGATGTTTGACAGAGATTGATTTTGGGCAAGAAAATCCAAGAGTTCTGAGGGGCACACAGCGCACATGCCTCTCCACCTGCCAAGGCCTGAGAGTGCTTGCTCACCCGTACCCCAGCTAGTCTCACCCGTACCCCAGCTAGTCTCACCCGTACCCCAGCTAGTCTCACCCGTACCCCAGCTAGTCTCACCCGTACCCCAGCTAGTCTCACCCGTACCCCAGCTAGTCTCACCCGTACCCCAGCTAGTCTCACCCGTACCCCAGCTAGTCTCACCCGTACCCCAGCTAGTCTCACCCGTACCCCAGCTAGTCTCACCCGTACCCCAGCTAGTCTCACCCGTACCCCAGCTAGTCTCACCCGTACCCCAGCTAGTCTCACCCGTACCCCAGCTAGTCTCACCCGTACCCCAGCTAGTCTCACCCGTACCCCAGCTAGTCTCACCCGTACCCCAGCTAGTCTCACCCGTACCCCAGCTAGTCTCACCCGTACCCCAGCTAGTCTCACCCGTACCCCAGCTAGTCTCACCCGTACCCCAGCTAGTCTCACCCGTCCGTAACCCAGCCAGCTAGTCTCACCCGTCCATAACCCAGCCAGGTAGTCTCACCCGGGTCGTGTGTGATCTGTGCCAGCACTTGCGCCTCCAGGTGCTCGGGGCACACAGCCCCGTCCAGCGCATACCTCTCCACCTCTAGAGCAAGATATAAAAGGGCCTGCTTCCCACATGGTTGAAGTAACGAAACAAAACCAACGCAGCACTCACCCCTGCCTGCCCCATCTCACCCGGGTCGTGTGTGATCTGCGCCAGCACTTGAGCCTCCAGGTGCTCGGGACACACAGCTCCATCCAGTGCATGCCGTTCCACCTGCCTCGCCACGTCCCTCTCACTCGCCGGCACCTCTGCCACTATTGCCGCCTCTTGTGCTCTCCCCCTGGCCGCCTGCAAGAGAAAGCAGGGGCAGACAGTGGGGAGAGATCGCAGAGGGAGAGAAAACAGTGGGACCCTAGAAGCTAAACCCTGAACCTGAAACCTTGAGCCCTCTGCCTGTTTGTGGCTGAATAACAGCCGCTTGCCCTGCCGTGTCGACATGAAGAATTGGTACTGCGCCTCCCCTCCGCATTGGAGAGAATTGATTTGATTACCGCCTCCCCTCTGCCTCTCCAATGCATGCCCCTCGTGTCGCAGACATGAGCAGACATGAGCAGACATGAGCAGACATGAGCAGTAAAGGAGGAGGTGAGATACAGAGTCACCTTTGGTTTCCTAACGAGTCTCGGAAATACATTGCACCGGGAGAGAAAAGCACCTGGATGCACCTGGGAAGACACCTGATAAGCACCTGAATGCTCCTGATAAGCAGCGCCGTCACTGTAGCCTGTGAGCTGTCCACCATGCCAGCATCCTCCTCCTCGTCCTCCCCGTTCTCCCCCCCGTTGACTTGCGTTGACTGCAGCAGAATCACCGAGTCGACGGTCTCAAGAGGCAGCGACTCCAGCACCTCCCGGTCTGCTGGGCTGCCTCGCTCTGGTGTGTGGGGGGGGGATGGAATGGGAAGGAAAAGAGGGAGTGGGGGTGGCGGCTGGGGTTTGAGAGGGCATGTCGACTTGCATTGACTGCAGCAGAATCACCGAGTCGACGGTCTCAGGAGGCAGCGATTCTAACACCTCCCTGTCTGCTGGGCTGCCACGCTCTGGTGTGGGGGGGGGGGGGGGGGTGGGATGGGAAGTGTTGGGAGACACGTTGACTTGCATTGACTGCAGCAGAATCACTGAGTCGACGGTCTCTCGAGGCAGCGACTCTAACACCTCCCTGTCTGCTGGGCTGCCACGCTCTGTGAAGAGGAGGTGGGGAAAGGGACGAAGGAGTGGGCGTGAGGTGGCGGTTGGGGTTGGGTTGGGAGGGCACGTTGACTTGCGTTGACTGCAGCAGAATCACCGAGTCAACTGTTACTAGGGGTAGCGACTCTAGCACCTCCCTGTCTGCTGGGCTGCCAAGCTCTAAAAAAGGGGGAGGATGGGAGGAGGGGTGAGGAAGGGAGAGAGTGGGAATGGGAGTTAGGTGGGCGCTGGGGCGTGTTTTGGGGTGTTGGGGAGAGGAGGGAGGAGAAGGGATGAGAGAGGAAGAAGCGAGGGGGGGTGTTGGGCCACTGCGCTCTATGTGTGTGAGTGGTGGAGAGAGGGTGGGGTTTGAAGTGGAAGGGAAGAGGAAGGGAACGAGCTGGGTGGTTAGGCCGTCCTGACTTGCATTGAACGCAGTAGTAGATCCACCTTCATGCCCCTGACCCAACTCCCTGCCCCCACTCCCTGCCCTCACTCCCTGCTCCCACTCCCTGCTCCCACCTCGCTGCCCTCACCTCCCTGCAACCTCCACTCACTGATGCGGATGGGGAGCTTTTTGTGCCTGCGAATGTTCCCCAGCAGCAGCTCGTCTGTTGGGGAGATGTGAGTCGCCACCACCGTCACCTCACTGCCTTGTGCCAGTATCGAGGGCAACAGCTCCACCAGCTGCTTTGCTTCCGGCCGCCATCCGCATATAAGCACATGCTGCTTGCGACCCACGCTGCTGCTGCTAGTGCCACGTGGCGCTTTCTGAGTGGCTGCCGGGACAGCTGCAGCAGTGAGCTCGGACGGCGGGGGCGGCAGGCGGCTGGGTCCCGGGCGGTAGCTGTTGCGATCCGCTGCTATCACTAGGAGCTTGTCTCCAGGCTGATGAGGGCGGAGGGGAGATATAAAAGGAAGGTGTTGGGAAATTGGGAGGGGGACAACATAAGAGGCGGCTGGGTCCCGGGTGGTAGCTGTTGCGGTCTGCTGCAATCACGAGAAGCTTGTCCCCGGGCTGATGAGGGGCGGGGGTGTAGGGGGAGAGGAAGGAGTACAGGGGGTGGAGGGGGTGGGGAAGAGAACAAGTACAAGTGCCATGAGTACAGCTGGGTCCCTCGGGGTAGCTGTTGCTATCTGCTGCGATCACAAGAGGAGGGGGAGAGGGAAGGGATGCAGCTGAAGGGGGCAGCTGAAGGGGGCAGCTGGAGGGGGCAGCTGGAGGGGAGGGGATGGGGAGAACTAGGAGTAATGCAGCAAGGCGAGGGACAAGCTGTGAGCGTACCTCTATGAGCGTCCAGCTGGGCGGGTTCACGAGCACCTCGCCCATTGTGCTGCCAGCACTACCGGAAGCATCGGGTGCGGTGTGGTGCTTGGGAGCCTTCATGAGCCCACAGGGGGTGGCGTTGTCAAATAGAAAGAGCGCATCGCCAAACGTGCGCCCCACTAGCTCTGGCCTGAGGGGGCGTGGAGTGGAGGAAGGGCATGCGTAGGCGAATGGGAATGGGAAGGTGTGTGGAGGATTTAGGGTGTGCGGAGGGCAGGCAGGCATGGATGAGCCCTCAGCGGGTAGCAGAATCAAAGAGGAAGGGTGCGTCCCCAAATGTGCGGCCCACCAGCTCTGGCCTGTTGGTGTGGAGAGGGTTAAAGAGGCGTGGAGGGGATGGGTGTGGGCGTGTGCCCGGCATGCAGGCACCGCATGAGCCCACAGGGGGTGGCATTGTCGAATAGAAAGAGTGCAAACGTGCGCCCCACCAGCTCTGGCCTGTGGGGGTGTGGAGGGAAGGGCATGCGTAGGGAAATGGGAATGGAAAGGCGTGTGGATGGGATGGGCGTGGGCAGGGCAGGCAGGCATTCATGAGCCCACAGCGGGCGGCGGAGTCAAAGAGAAAGAGAGCATGCCCAATCGTGCGCTCCACCAGCTCTGGCCTGTTGGTGTGTGGAGGGAAGGGTGTGTGAGGGATAGGGATGAAGCATCATGTACAAACGTATTCCCTTGTGTGTGCAATGCAGCACTTGCATTTGTCAAAAGCACCACTCACCACTCCTCAAATTCACACCAACCACTCCACACCAACCACTCACCACTCCTTGAAGTAGAACTCGTCGTTCTCGAAGTCAAGCAGGTCAGCAGTGACGTCAGCGGTGCCGCGGTGCACAGCAGCGGACAGCAGTGTGCGCAGCGAGAGGTTCTCCGCCGCCACCGGCACCAGCCGCCTCCTCCTCCTCCTCGTGCTCCCGTTCCTGCTACATGCCACCCACCGTTGCTGCTGCTGTTGGTGCTGGAGGTGATGCTGCTGCTACCGCTCTCATCGTCCTTCAAAACGAGCATGCACTCACCACTACTCGAATGCAACACTCACCACTCTTTGAAGTAGAACTCGTCGTTCTCAAAGTCAAGCAGGTCAGCGGTGACATCAGCAGTGCCACGGTGCACAGCAGCGGACAGCAGCGTGCGCAGCGACAGGTTCTCCGCCGCCACCGGCACCAGCCGCCTCCTGCGCCCCCTCATGCCAGTGGGCGGTGCTTGGGCAGTGGTGGCGGTGGTGGAGGGGGAGGGCGCGAGGAGGGTGCGGTGGAGGCGTTGCAGCAGGCGCACGTTGGAGAGTGAAGAGAGCTCCGCGATGATGTCAGCGCTGATGTCAGCGCGGTTGGCGAGTGCGAGACTGGCTTGGATCACCTGAAGGGAGGGCAAAAGGGATGGGTTGGGTTCAGCGGAAGCGTTACAGCTGGTGGGAGCGAAGAGAGCTCTGCGATGATGTCAGCACTGATGTCGGCACAGTTGGCCAGGGCCAGACTGGCTTGGATCACCTGAAAGGAGGGGTGGGATCGGTGGGAGGGATGTGGCAGGTGGGAGGGGTGCGGATGTCAGCACTGGTGTCTGGCTGGTTGGATTCGTGAGCGCCAAGGTGGCTTGGATCACCTGGGTGGAGGGGAGGGAAGGGGGTGGCAGGTGGGAGGGTGGGTTTGGTTAAATAGATGCTCTATGAGGCAAATGGTGTGAAAGGCAGGCGATTCCCAACAGACGATTCTCATACCCAATCACACCATGCCACGCAATGGCAGCAAACAGCACCACAGCCTAACGGACTCACGAAGGCGTCGGCTTGCGACACCATACCACACCGGCAGCAGCAGCATCCACCATGGTTCCAAGAAGAAGGGCAAGCTTTAGCCATGGGGTGCCATTGCAACATACTAGCTCTGATCTCTCACTCAGCCATAGGTGTGTCATTATCCGAGCCTTTCTACATCATGCCATTCTTCTTGGAACCATGGTCGGAGACGGGCGGGGAGAGCAGCACAATGGAGCGAGCAGCGTCAGCAGCACAGCGCACCACACCACACCACATATACCGCATCACACCACACCACAACACACCACCACCACACCACATTGCAACACAGCACAGAGAGCTCACGAAGGCGTCGGCTTGAGAGGGGTCGGAGACGGGCGGGGAGAGCAGCACAATGGAGCGTGCAGCGTCAGCAGCACAGCGCGCCAGGTCCTCCGAGTGGAATGGCGAGCCGGTGCGCGTCACAATCTGATGAGAAACAGTGCACAATAGGCACATGGGAAGCAAAGAGATGTAGGGGAGATCAAATCCGTGCGGGGTGTACAAGTGTTGAACTGCAGCGTCAGCAGCACAGCGCGCCAGGTCCTCAGAATGGAATGGCGAGCCGGTGCGCGTCACAATCTGGTGGGTGCGATGGAAAACGGGAGCCGGGAGCGGGAAGGGAGAACTAACGAAGGCGTGCACAAGTGGTAGGTCTAGCAGCATCAGCATCAGCAGTGCTGCAGCACGCCGGGTCTTCTTAAAGGAAGGGCGAACAGCCGCGCGTGGCAGGCTGATGAGAACCAGTATGCACATGGAATGGGAGAGGAGAGTCAGAAGGAAGGGGGAACAAGTGGTAGGACCGTGGGGCGCTCAAGAGCTAGGTGCCCTGTTCATCTCCTCCTTGCCCTTCCCGTCTGCCAGCACCACCATCCTTAGGTGCACCCTGTTGACTCGATTGTTTCGTACCTGCCCGCCGCCCGCTTTCTGCCTTTCACTCTTGGGAATGGCATCCAGCAGTGCACTGTCCTGTCCATCTCCCCCTTGCCTATTGTGCCCCGCCTATTGACTCCTGTTGCCCACCTTGACTCTCTTGAATCAATTGCATTTCGTGTTTCCTACCTGCCCGCCGCCTGCCTTCTGTCGCTCGCTCTTGGGAATGGCATCTAGCAGCGCACTGTCCATCTTCTCCTTGCCCTTGCCACCCGCCAGAACCACCACCACCTCAGGTGGTGCAACCGTATTCACTCTCTTGCCTATCTTTACACGCTTGCCGCCCTTGCCTCTCACCTGCCCGCCTCCCGCCTTCTGTCGTTCGCTCTTGGGAATGGCATCTAGCAGCGCACTGTCCATCTCCTCCTTGCCCTTGCCACTCGCCAGCACCACCACCGCCCGACTGCCGTCCGCCCCCACCAGCTGCTGCACCAGGGGGATAGTGCGCGGGGTCCAGCCTGCGAGTGGGGAGAGGGTGTGGGAGAGGGAGGGAGTTGTGAGGGGAGGGCCTTGTTGCGACGCTCCGACTGCCATCCGCCCCCACCAGCTGCTGTGCCAGCGGGATGGTGCGGGGGGTCCAACCTGAGAGTGGGGAGAGAGGAGGGAGGGCGGGGTTCGGGGCACGGGGAGAAAGGAAAGTGGGGAAAAAGGGGATACCATTTGGTGGCTGCAGGGAGCCACCGCCGCCCGACTGCCGTCCGCCCCCACCAGCTGCTGCACCAGCGGGATGGTGCGGTGCGGGGGGTCCAGCCTGGGAGGGGGAAAGGGGGTGGGGGGGGGGGAGGGGAGCGGAGGGGAGGGGGGAATGGGTGCCATTGTTGATACTCACGAGGGGAATGGAGCGGTGGGTCCAACCTGAGAGAAGGAGCCTCGCTCCATGACAGACCCCTGTGTGCCCTTGTTTGGACAATTGCTCATATCTTCCACTTGCTCTTTGTGCCCCTGTGCTTCCTGACAGGTATACAAGCGCAAGTAGCCACCCACTCACCCACGAACAGCACGTGCCCACGCTCCATAACGGCCCCCTTGCCCTTGCACAGATCGTCCACCTGCTGCTACTGTGCGTGCATGCAAGTAGGCACTGCAAGCCACTCACCCACCAGCAGAAACTACTTGTAGCAATCACTCGCCCACGACCAGCCAGCACGTGCCCGCGCTCCATGACGGACCCCTTCTCCTTGTTCAGATCGTCAACCTGCTGCCACTGTGCTTCTTCACTTCCCGCTGTCGGCCTACAGGAATGCACTCGCTACTAGCCACCCACCCAACACCAGCAACAATCACTCACCCACGACCAGCACGTGTCCGCGCTCCATGACGGCCCCCTTGCCCTTGTTCAGATCGTCCACCTGCTTCGCCACGCCATCAGTGGCCAGACCCACCAGCAGCGCCAGCAGCAGCAGGCCCTTGATGGTCAGCACCACCGACAGCACCCGCTTCCAGATTGAGTCCTGGGGTGGGGAGGTGGGGGGAGATCGCAGAGCAGGGGACGTGAAGAGGGAGGGTGGTGGCACTGGGAAGGTCACGGCTGCCAGACCCACCAGCAGCGCCAGCAGCAGCAACCCTTTAGTGTCAGCACCACTGACAGCACCCGCTTCCATATCGAGTCCTGGAGTAGGGTGAATGGAAAGGGACGTGAATGGGAAGCGGTGGTGATGGGAAACCAAGGCCACTAGTGAGAGAAACCACCAGCAGCGCCACCAGCAGTGCTAGCAGCAGCAAAGCACCACCGACAGCACCCGCTCATATGGAGTCCTGGGGTAGGGTGAATGGGAAGGGACGCGCATGTGATGACAAGTGAAGGAAGGGATGGTATGGTGTTGGGAGAGTGAAGGGGATGTGAAAGAGTGGTATTGGAGAGATGATTGCTACCATACCAGACCCACTAGTACAGGCACCGGCAGCGTCAGCAGCAGCAGACCCTTGATGGTGGGCGACTGGGCGGGCAGGTGGGAGGGGGGCAGGGGGGCACCTCCACTCCACTCCATTCCACTCCACCCCACACCACTCCACCCCACCCCACCCCACCCTCTGGCTCACCTGAGCGCCCTGCTGGCCGGGGTCTGACAGCATGGTCCACGAGACCCACACAGCCTCGCCAAATGGCACGTCCTCATTGGTTGCCTTGGCTGCAGCGATGAAGGCTCCGGCTCCCAGCAGCATGAGGGCCACCCAGAGGACAGAGAGCAGCAGGAGCTGGGGGAAAAGGGGGGGAGAGAGCGGGGGAAAGGAAATATGATTGGGGTGGCTCAAACATTTGTGAACTTGAAGGTTTCCAGCAGCATGAGGGTCACCCAGAGGACAGAGAGCAGCAGGAGCTGGGGGGGGAGGGGAAGGGGAGGGGAGAGAAGGGGGGAGGTAGGGTGTTTGAGGCAGTTTAGACATCTCATCACTTGGTTCCCAGGAGCATGAGGGCCACCCAGAGGACCGAGAGCAGCAGGAGCTGGGGGACAGAGAGGAGGGGAGGAGGGGCAAGGGGGAAGGACGAGGTGATTGAGGCAGATTAGACATCTCATCACTTGGCTTGGCTCCCACGAGCATGAGTGCCACCCAGAGGACTGAGAGCAGCAGGAGCTGGGGGGAAATGGAGGGAGAGAGCGGGGGAAAGGAAATATGATTGGGGTGGCTCAAACATTTGTGAACTTGAAGGTTCCCAGGAACATGAGTGCCACCCAAAGGACAGAGAGCAGCAGGAGCTGGGGGACAGACAAAAAGAAGGACGAGGTGTTTGAGGTGTTTTGGACCAAGGCGACAACCCACCAAGGCACAACACACCCAGGGAAGAAAGGAAACCTTCCCGTTGTCATTTGCCTTACCTCACCTTCCCCGAGGGTTCAGTGGTGAGAAAAAGGTCGATGGCATACGGGGCCTTGTCTGTGATGCGACCGTCGTGCCCAGCAGTACGGTGCAGAAGCAAAGCTTTCCCTTTGAAGAATTCTCATTCATCTGCTCGCCTCACCTTCCCCGAAGGTTCAGTGGTGAGGAAGAGGTCGACGGCGTAGAGGGCCTTGTCTAATGAGACCGTTGTGCCGGAGCAAAGAGATCCCTTCTGAAGCATCCTCGTTCATTCATCTGCCTTGCTCACCTTCCCAGAAGGTTCAGTGGTGAGGAAGAGGTCGATGGCATAGAGGGCCTTATCGGTGATGCCTGCTCGCTGCTGGGGTGACTTGAGCGCCGCTGGACTGGCTGTGCCGGGTGGGGGCGGGGTCAGCACGATCTGAGAGGGGTGGAGAGCGGTGGAAAGGGATAAAATGGAGGGATTGAGAGAGATCGATGGCATAGAGGGCCTTATCCGTGATGCCTGCACGCTGCTGGGGTGACTTGAGCGCCGCTGGACTGGCTGTGCCCGGTGGGGGCGGGGTCAGCACGATCTGAGGAAGGGAGGGAGGAGAGGGGGAAATCGAGGGAAAGAGGGGGAAAGCGGGGGTGCGAGGAAGGGGTTTATGGAGGTGAAATAGAGAGCTGTGAAAATCAGCTCTTTCTGTCTGACCTTACTCCACGCGTTCCACACTCCCTCACTCTCTTTTCCAATTTCCAGCCATAGCCACCACGAGCAAGATGGGTATGTGCGACAGTTCAAACGTCCTCCTCACGCACCCTCTTACCCGCTACCAGTCCCCCCACCAGTCCCCCCCATCCCCCCATCGGTCTCCCACCTGTCACACACCACTCCTGCTGCTGACAAGGTGCCACATGAAAGGTGGGTCAGCCCATCTCACCTGGTTGCTGGCAGCAGCGGCAGGGGGAGGGCGCAGCAGAGCGGCGAAGGGAGCACCCCCTCCTCCTCCCAGGCGCCAGGAGAGGGAGGAGAAGAACGTGGCTGCAGCTATGGCCGCCGCGAGTAGAGGGAGGAGGACGGAGCGAGGGAGCGGAGAGGGGAGGAGAGAGGAGAGACTGGGAGTACGTGTCGTGGGTGGGGTGGGGATGGGTGTTGAAGCAGCAGCGGTGGGTTTGGTGTTAAGTGAGGGAAGTTCTGATGGGTGGAGTGCGGTGCTGTCGTTGGATGCTTGCTGCGGAGGAGGGGAGGAAGTTGGGGGAAGAGAAGGGCGAGTAGGGAGGGAGTGGAAGGAGGGAGATTTGGAGCCATGACAGGGAGCAACACGAATGGCACGGAATGACAGGGAATGGCACGGAATGGCATGGATCGACATGGAATGACAGGGAGTGACAGGGAATGGCATGGAATCACAGGAAACGGCTGGGAGTGGAAGTGAAATGGATTGGACGAGGACTGAGACGAACTGAGAGAGAATGACACTGGAATGGACGCAAGCTGACACGGAATGGCATGAACTGACACGGAATGGCATGAACTGACACGGAATGGCATGAACTGACACGGAATGGCATAAACGGACACGGAATGGCATAAACGGACACGGAATGGCATAAACGGACACGGAATGGCCACGAAAAGAAAGCACCTCCTCAGGGCCGTCCGAGGCAGCGCGAGGAGCGACGACGCTTCGCTGGCGACTGCGAGATGCCGAAAAGAACGGAGATGTCAACCTCCACACTGACGGAGACGTCCTATTGGTCCATTTTGTGGACAATGCTGGACCTAACGTGGCGACATTCGCGACATTGTGTGCGACATTGTGTGCGACTGGTCGCCGGCGATGCGAGATCACGGCGTCCAGGCCTCGCATTGAGTTCTGCACCGTAACGATCGGCGGCGGCGCGAGAACCGACTGCATGGCGACCTGAACCTCTATAAGTTCAAAATGTTGCCAGCAGGGTCCGGAAACCACGGGATAATCAAAAACTGCACCGCGTACGGTTCAATGCACTGCCTGGAGAGGTCCCTGATAGACAGAGGGATCGAATGCGGTGCGGTGCGTTACTAAAGAGCTTCAAACTACTGAACGCGTCTCGTGGTTCTTGTGCAGTGTGAGCAATGCACCACTGGCTGAACTGAGCTGATGTACTTTCATTCATCTCATGTTCACAGCTTCGGCGGCATTGCCATCACCGAACAAGCCAACTTCATCGGCTGGTCCCGTGAAGTGAAAGATGGAGAGCATAACTGTTACGGGTGCAATGAATCGAGGTAGCGAGAATTGCACTAAGGTGTCAAACGAGTACAAAATGTGAGCGAAGGCATGAGCGAACATTTATACGCGAAACATGCAAAACGGTAACGCGGTGCGTGCGAGCTTGCTAGTGCTACGCTGGAGCGAGGCTCGGGCTAGTCCCGAGGCGTAGGCCGATACGGCCATGCCAGCAGTGCGAGGTTTGGCAAAACAGTGCGCGCGAAGTCGGCGAAGTTCCGTTAACAGTAACGGGCGAACAATCGGCTGTTGCTGTACGCGATGTAGTCGGCTCCGTAAGGAATGCCGAGCAAATTCCTTACACTACCCCCCCCCCTAAGAAGCCCCCTCCGCTACGCGAGTGCGTGTATATCGTGGAATCCCCGGCTCCTCAGGTACACTTGCAGGGCAGGGTGGTTTTCGATGTTGGTCAGGGACACCCAGCTGTCTTCAGTTGGCGTGCGGTCCTTCCAGCGAACGAGGAATTCAATCCTCCTGATTCCCGTGGGGTGGCGGATCCGATGGCTCAGGATTTTTTCGGGCTCGATGATCGGCTCCGATGCAGGGCGAGTCATTGATTGTGGGCGGTGACGCGGCAGTTGACTTGTGGTCGGGATGTATGGGCGAAGTAGGCTGACGTGGAACGAAGGGCTGATGTACCAGTCGGTTGGCAACAGTAGATGTGCGGTGACGGGTGTGATTGTGAAACTAACTGAACAGGAATGAATTGACTAAGTCAGAGTTGGGTACAAATACAACCCTAGCAAACTGTACCCCATATGTGCTACCCCACTATAGCCTACAAACATGCATCAGCTATAATAATCTGACACACCCCCATAGGCAAAGTGGGGGAGAACAAGGGGTCACAAGACCAGTCAAGCAAAGCAAAGCAAGCTCAGGGTGGATCACAAAGTCACCACACAGTCCGAGCACAAGAGCAAGGCCAGAGGCCAGTTCACATGCAGGAGTACAGACATATATAAAACTAGACAAGCAAGAGCAGGTATATATATGTCAAAGTACAAGTAAAGTCAAGAAGAGAGCAAGTGAGGCAAGACAGGTACAAGACCCAGCTGGGTACAAAAGCGCTGATGGTCGCAAGGCGCAAGTGCCTTGGTGAACACATCAGCAGTGTTGGCCTCAGAGGCCACGTAAGCAAGTCGCAACTGACCACGCTGCTGCAGCTCACGAGCAAGGAAGTAGCGGAGAGCAATGTGCTTCGTTCTGTGCTCCAAGCGCTGCTCTCGACACAAGGCCAACATGGCCTTGTTGTCTACGTACAGCACTGGAGGAGAACGAGGCAGCTCTCCAAGGTCAGTCAGCAGGTAGGTGAGCCAGCGAAGCTCCTGTGCAGCCATGGCCCCGGCGTAGATCTCAGCCTCACAACTGGAGCCGAGAACCGAAGACGAGCGAGTAGACCGCCACGAGACAGAGCCGGAACCAAGGCTGAAGGTGTAACCCTGTGACGACCGCTGCGTAGCCTGGTCGTCAGCCCAAGAAGCGTCTGCGTGCCCAGTAAGGACCACTGGACTCCGCCCTCCAAGCACTAGCCCCATGCCCGACGTACTGCACAGGTAGCGCAATACCCTCTTCGCTGCAGCCATGTGCTCTGGTCGGTGTCTCCCAGGAGCAACATAGCGTGCAAGGATGCTCAGAGGGTATGCAAGGTCAGGTCGTGTGCAGGTCATCAGGTACATGAGGCAGCCAACAAGCTCTGCATACGGACCACTCGACTCTACGGACTCATCCGAAGGCAGAGCTGAGAGTGAGTGGCGAGTAGGCAGAGGAGTGGCCTGAGGCGAGGAGTACGTGAAGCCGAAGCGCTGAAGGACCTGCTGCACCATGTGTGACTGAGTCAGGGTAATGGTGCGGCGTGCTCTGTCCCGAGTGATCTGCAAGCCAAAGTAGCTGCGCAGTTCACCCAGGTCTGTGCACGTGTGTCTCTTCAGCAGCTCGGACTTCACGTAGGCGAGTCCAGCAGTGTCCGCTGTGGCAAAGACCAAGTCGTCGACGTACACGAGGATGTAGAACGGCGGCAGGGAAGTGTCGGTGCGAAGAAACAGCGACGGGTCAGCAGTAGAAGGAGCAAACCCAAGAGCCGCAAGCGTAGTCCTCAGTGTGTCGTGCCACTCACCCGGTGCCTGGCGGAGACCGTAGACTGGCCGTCGGAGGCTCCACTGGGTGCCAGGAGGGAAAGTCCCAGTGAAGCCAGGCGGACGGCGCAGCCAGATCTCCTCGTGCAGGCTACCCTGCAGGAACGCAGTGCTGAAGTCGAGAGAGTGAAGCTCGTAGTCGCGCTGAGCGGCAATGTGCAGCAGCACCCGAAGAGTGGTCATCTTCGGGGTGGGAGAGAAGGTCTGAAAGTAGTCAACTCCCTGCCGCTGACTGAAGCCACGAGCCACGTAACGCGCCTTGAAGACAGGCGGCGAGCCCGGCGGCCGCTTCACCCTGAAGATCCACATGCCACTGACGATGTTCGCCCCAGGAGGGGGAACCGCGTCAACGTAGGTGCCTGTGGACTTCCAGGAAGCCATCTCTGCATCCATAGCTGCCTGCCACTGAGAGGAGTAGGGACCCTCTACGGCCTCCGCGTAAGAACGCGGAGTCGGGATGTCTAGTGCATCCGGGTCTCCCTCAGGGGCTAGCAGTACAGACGCGAGACGAGGTGAAGCAGCGGCTAGACACTGGAACTCCTCCTGCCTGTCCTCTAGGACGTCCGTGCCAAGGGCACACTCATCCCCGACGGACGGAGGACAGGCGGACTCAGACTCAGCGACAAGACGAGCAGCGTAGTCTAGACGACAGCGCGCAGCAAAGTCGACAAGCTCAGTGACAAGGGCAGACGCAGCAGACGACTCGAAGGAAGGGTCAGTGACAGCAGTAGCAAGGAGACGCGTGACAGTAGGACTGGCAGCACGAAGAGAGTCCGACTCCGGGTCGGCAAGAGCAGGAAGAGAGGAAGCAGGAGGAGAAGGCAAAGGGGCACGCAGAGGAGCAGTGGACGGACGCAGTGACATCCGGTGCGTCCCAGGGACAGGAGGAGGACGCTGACGCGACCCGCGACCACTAGCGCGCTCAGTACGAACAGGCGACGCAGGACGAGACGCAGGCTCACGACGCTCAGTAAGGCCTCCAGTCGGACCAGCGTAGGGAGAAGGAGCAGGCAAAGGGGAGGCAGGCTCTAGCTGTGGCTGTGACCGGACAGGCTGCGGACCCTCTAAGGGAGGAGGAGGAGGAGCAAGACCAAGAACCTGCTCCAGGAGCGGAACGAAGTACGGTCGAGACCGCGCGGCGACGCCAGAAACAGCAGGAACAGAACCAGCAGCTCCGGCCGGAGCACCCACTCCAGCAGCACCTCCAGCAGAACCACCAGAAGCTCCAGAACCTCCAGCAGCAGCACCAGGAGCACCGTCAGTCGGACCACCAACCGCAGGCTCAGCGCCAACGTCCTCAGCAGGACCAGCTCCAGGAGAACCCTCAGACCCAGCAGCTCCAGCACCCACAGGACGAGCACCGCCAGGTCGCGTGGCAGCAGCGCCCTCCGCAGCCGAAGAACCACCAGCACCAGCGGCACGCCTCCAGCGCCGGGCAAACCACTCACGCAGCTCCTGTGGAGAGAGCGGCTCCCGGCGAGACGAAGCACCCCCAGGCACAGCACCTCCAGGCTCGGCACCTCCAGGCTCAGCACCCCCAGGCTCAGCACCCCCAGGCTCAGTACCCCCAGACACAGCACCCCCAGGCACAGCACCCCCAGGCTCAGCACCCCCAGGCACAGCACCCCCAGGCTCAGCACCCCCAGGCCCAGCACCCCCAGACTCCGCACCCCCAGGCTCAGCACCCCCAGGCTCAGCACCCCTAGACTCCGCACCCCCAGGCTCAGCTCCCGCAGCAGCACCGGAGTCACCAGTGACCTCGACAGGCTCGACCGCGTCTACCTGAGACACACCTGAAGGGGCAGGACCCTGAGGGGGGAGGGGGACTACTGGGGGGGGACCTGGTACCAAGAAGAGCGGGGGTGGGGGGAGGGACGGAGTGCGGTAGGGGAAGAGGCGGTAGTAGGGTACCGACTCGTCGAACGTGACGTCCTGGGAGGACAGAACACGTCGAGAGGTGGGGTG